TGCTTCAAGGTTCATCAAGTGTGTCACTGTCGGCGACGGTGCTGTCGGAAAGACTTGTCTTCTCATCTCTTACACTAGCAACACTTTCCCTACGGTTAGCTTTTTAAAGTCTTCTCCTTTTACCTTTTTTTTTTCTTGTACTGCGATTTCTTGTTTGAATTTAGCTTAGGAAAGTTGGATTTGTTGTTGGGTTTCTTAGAGTTGATGATGATGCCTTATATAGAGACATTGTTGGGTTTTCTTAAAGGCTTGTTCTTTCTGATAAATTTTGGTGAGAATGGTAGTTTATAGAATGACCCTTTAGCTCAGTGATTGGACTGTAAACTGTAGTGTTCTATATGATTTGAAGAATTCAGCATTTATATACCATAGCAATATATCTCTTGGAACCATGTTTAGTGTGATTTAGATTAACTTGACATATATCTCTGTGACAGGATTATGTGCCAACTGTGTTCGATAATTTCAGCGCGAATGTGATTGTGGATGGGAACACTATTAACTTGGGATTGTGGGATACTGCAGGCAAGTTTACCTTGGATTTTTGTGGTGTTCTTTCTTGTCTTTTGAGTTTCTTTGTCTCGAGAGAGAGAGAATCATTTGTGTTTTGATTCGATGAAACAGGACAAGAGGATTACAATAGATTAAGACCTCTGAGCTATCGGGGTGCAGATGTTTTCTTACTTGCATTCTCTCTCGTTAGCAAAGCTAGCTATGAAAATGTTTCTAAAAAGGTTTGATCTTTGGTCGTCCCCTGAAACTGTCTGTCTTGTTTTATCGCCTTTCCCCCCAATTCTCATTTAGTGATTCTGATAGAATCCATTTGGTTTCTTGGTTTTGGTTTCTCAGTGGGTTCCTGAACTGAGACATTATGCTCCTGGTGTTCCTATCATCCTCGTTGGAACAAAACTTGGTTGGTTTCTTTTTTTGTAACTCAACTCTTAACCACCCGATCACCATTTTATCGGTTCTGGGAAATTTCCTGATTTTTTTATGACTGATTTCTCTTTTAGATCTTCGTGATGATAAGCAATTCTTTGTCGATCACCCTGGTGCAGTGCCTATCTCTACCGCTCAGGTACATTTTCTCGTATTCTTCTCATGAGTTTTTAACTGAATCATCATCGGTGTTTAAATTTTCGGCGTGTGATGGTATCAAAATAGGGTGAAGAACTAAAGAAGTTGATTGGAGCACTTGCTTATATCGAGTGCAGTGCAAAAACTCAACAGGTAAACCTTTAACGTTTCATAACTTTATCTAATTGTACCCGTCTACAACAGCCAATTGAATCCATTGATCTTTTCAACAGAATGTAAAAGCGGTGTTTGATGCGGCTATCAAAGTGGTTCTCCAGCCACCCAAAAACAAGAAGAGGAAGAAGAGAAAATCTCAGAAAGGTTGTTCTATATTGTGATCATAGAGAAAGGAAAGAAGAAGAGTGGTTTCAACAACAAGAAAAGAAGCAACTTGAAGCAGGAACAACCTTTCTGGAAAACTGACAAAAAAATCAGAAAAAACTAGTAACAAAGTATTTGTATTTCTTGTTTGCATTTTGATCTGTAAATATACAACGAATTCTTGGTTTCATTTGTTTCTTAGATTCACACGAATCGGTTAGAGACTATTGGATGATGATTGCAACATGAATTTAGAGGACCCTCTTTCACTCTTTCTTGTTTCTTGTACCTAGATTCCAATTTTGGCATGTCATTTTTTAGTCCAAATCTCATAATTTGCAAACAGAGCAAGTTTGTAAGTTTGATTTCATAGAATTGCATAACATTTGCAGATTTGATGCAACCATAAATAAGACAAAGACAACGTAATGTTCCAAAGGTAAATAACTTTCATAACACCAACTTTACATCCATTCATTTTGGGGACACTACTGATTTGACCTACACGAAAACATGAATCATAACAAATATATAAAGGTGACAATATTATATAAAGGTGACAATATTAATATGACTCGTGAAAATAACAACTTTTGACTTTTATCAGATTTTCCTTGATATTTATTTTGATTATGAAGTAGATATTTTCCCCTTTAGCTAAATGATTGATTTGATTTATTCAATTTTATGGTCCTAACTCCTAAATAAAATATGTGGAGTTGTAATGTAATGGTTTGGAGAGCGAAAATTCAGTGTTACTAATTAAACTCCATTTAGAAAAACTGATTTACACTTTAAACGTAATTTTCAACGGTGATCCCGGATACGGAAAATTTTACAATTTTATCAAACAAAAGCTGTTTTTATGGTCATTACCAAACGAATATCGTTTGTTGATCAATCTCTTTCTTTGTGTTAACTGCCTCTCGTTTGAGACCCACGTATTATTCGATTCCTACAACAATACTAAACCAATTCTTTAATTAAAACAATAAATGTAATACTAAATTAATTGAAATAATATATCAGCTACTTGTCAGGACGATTAGTGAACTAATATTCACCTAATAAGCCTACGTACCAACTTTCCTCTGACATGTTTTCTTAGGCACTAAAATTGAGTTTCTTTTTAAAATAGCCTCTACAAGCTAGTACGAGTACGTACGAAACATTTGGTTTTCAGATTTTTCAAATGGACACAAGGCACAATGCATTAACCTGTTTGTGGTTTATGACGTCATGTTTCATAAATACAGTGATAAGATCTATTTAAAATATCAATCTAGTCGAGCCAAAATTGCTTTTGAAAGTGCATGTCGGATGAGTTTTAGAATTTCGTATGAGCAGATACAAAAGAGTTGAGAAGCTGATGGTAAAAAAGGTGAAACATGAAGATGAAACTGTTGAAGCAGTGATCTGTACCAGTCTTGAATTTCGTACTGCAAGAGGTTGTACGAGCAGACTGGCTGGTCTTGAGCGAAGTGGGCTCAAGGAGATGGGCCGGACCGGATGTGTGAAGCTAGCTTAGAGCCCAAGATGATGCAGCTAAGCTAGAGGATATACTTGGAGAGGATCCAAACTTGAAGACCTTCCTTATCTTGTGCTAAGAATAAGGAAGGAGAATATACTTACGAAGATTTGAAGAAATCAAGATCTTGCGTGGAGTAGCGACTAAGGCTAGGGTTAGCCGTGTTATCCTATTGTGTATAAATAGGAGGGGCGTGAGTTTTGTAGGGCTTGACCCCCACGATGTGAGAGAATTCTTAGTAAAAGTTTTGGGGGGGTTCATGAAAGAACACAAAACAATGGGGCTAAGGGTTTGTCTTGTAATGTTCACTATAGATCGTGTATAAATCTGTGAACGGAAAGGCTAGATTAAGGAGATTAAGTAGAACTTGTAAGTACGCTTGATGATTGATCTTGTAATATTGTTGGGAAAAAAAACCCCGAGTTATTTGTGTTGGTTTGTATTACGTACATGTACTCTCTGTAACAGTAGCTCTTGCACTTTCAGCTATTTCAAATTCGACTATTTTCATTTATTTAAATAATATATTGCTTTTGATATTATTGAGCTTAATTAATTTTTTAATTTGTCTTCTAATGTGTTCTCATCGATCGGCCCCTTAATAACAATTTTGATCCATATTACAAAGTTATAATATATGATGGAATTAGAAACTTTTAAAATATATGAACTAGAAGAGGAAAAGTGCAACTTATCTTACAAAGAGAAAGGAGTTCGCCCTATTCTCTCCCAGACACACTCCCCGAGGAGCCACCGTCAACAACAACAATGCATCACCGCCGATGCTCCGCCGTGCAGATCTCCCTCCCCTTCTATAACGCCGCTCCTCCTCCTCTTCTTGGAGTCTCCGAAGTGCTCAAGAATAACGGAACTCACCCGCTTCCCTCTGCCGGAATTGTTGGTATCGACATGACTCATCACTCGGCCATTTCGATCTGGTCCAAGGCTCGTAGAGCCGGCACGAAGGTGGTACTGTCTTCCCTCGTGACGCCATCGACGATGAATCTGACCGGAAGCCTCCCCACTCCCGGGTTTGTCTCTTTTCGGCTACGCCGGAATGGTCACAATCGATGGAGCCCACAATCCCACCGATCCCTCCGGATCCGCCGCCGCCGGTTCCGCTCCAGCCACCGAAGCCTCCGGATTCTTGCAAGGCCTTGTCGGATCCAACCTCCGCATCGACGTGGTCATACACCAGCGACGCCTCGAACTCCCCTCTGCTTCGCTCCAAACCGACCGGATATCTCTCCGGTAACATCATGTCGTCGGCATCGACCAGATCTGTGAAGGATCATATATGGGCTGGGCCCATGAGGAATTGTAAACTTGGGCTTGGTTTAATAGGCCCACTGTCATTGTCTTGGGCTTGGCCCAAGAGGAGTATCAAGGTTGGGCTATTTATGCTAATAGGTCCATTCCTAATGTTTCTAAAAAACAGATTTTCGAAAATCTTATATGCTTTTGAGTTTGTCGGATTTTTTTCTTTGAAAAGAACAAAGTTTTATGGATTCTCAAATCTTGTAATTTTTATTGATGATATCTATTCTATTGAGAAAAAACAAAAGTTTTCTGGATTCTCAAATCCTGTAATTTACTCCCGATGGAAGAGTTTAATTCCACTTTCTTCCATCTCTTTTGTGAGATTGGTCGTATTTTCTTCCCTCTCTTGGAGAATGGTCGAATCCCCGTGCTATATGCCGGGACTTTCAAAGTCATAATGGAAAGTGACTACCCTGAGACTCTCCGGCCTTGCCGCGAAAACCTTCTTGACGCATCCTAGATATGTCTTGGATCCGCTGTCTATCTTCTACGATGATCTATCTGCTTTATGTGTTATTGCATTTTAATTATGTTGTATTAACGTGGGAGGATGCTTAATTTCCTCCGTTTATATTTTGATATTTTAAACGAATGAAAAGTTTGTTGAAAAAAATAAACAATAAAAGGAGGAAAAGTGCGTAGTGTAGACGGACTTTGTTTCATTTAATTCTCGGGCCATTGCCGTACGTAGGAGGCAGCCTTCAAGGCTTCTTAAATCGAGGTGTGTTCGTTACGCTTTACCCGCCATAGCCGGTGGTCACACACTCACAAGTACCCTTTGAATCACCGAATATCGTCGGTTTCCCGCTAATTTTTGCCGGTTTCCCCTAACTAACTCCTTTTTTTGGTCTTCGAACAATTTAAATATGATGTAAAATTTTGCTATGTGATGTAAATACTCAACAAAAAGATTGGTAAAAAACAAAACTGG